AATGTCTCCTGTTTAAATGGAGAATTCATAAAATGAGCAAGCTAATTTATTAAACTAATTGCAGTCTAAATATAAGCTTTACATATATATTTATATAAGCCAATAAATTCAAAAAAATATTGAGTTTCTAGCTCCTTTTTTCATATCCATTAGTTTACAATTTACTATTAAATAGAATTGGATTACTAAAAAAGGAACAGTTCTTATTATTAATTGTTAAATGGCAAATAAAAAATAAATGTGCATGCTTACATGTATTAGTCAACGGTCGTGTTTATATTGATTGTGGTTATATACATTGGTAATTAATTGTTTTTGCAAAATTATAAAAACAAAACAAAACAATACTGTTTAAAAACACAATTTTAGTCCTTATTTGCTGTGGTAATTCACTTACTTTCGAAACTTGTAAAATCCCCTTTGGTTTGCATTTTCAAAAATAAAAATTTTAGAATTTTGCCTAAAGTAACGCTTATACCAGTTAACACTCACCGGCCTTGCCCTTCATCTCGCTTTCCAGAGTGCCCTCGGTATCGGCAAGTGGCAGATCCACAAATTGCGAGTCGATTACATTGGCCAGCGCCTCCTCCCGCGACCAACGGATGCGTCCTTGCTGGACGGCCACAATAGATTCGGAACTGGTGCTGAACAGGAAGAGGCAACTCTTGCCCTCGCCATTGCGCTTCTGTTTGCAGTCGAAGTTGCTCAGCTCTGGACTTCCGAAGTGCGCGGGGAAGGGCAAACTCTGCTCTATTTCAGTCACCGGCGCGCAGTTATCCAGATATACGGCATTGATCTTGACAATCTTTTAAAAACCAACCATATTAACAAAGTTATCAATCCGTTAATAATGCAAAACCCACCCCAGAAACAAGATCTGCATACGCCAAGATCTTGCGGTAGTTAAAGCTGCCCACGGAGTAGCTGGATGCTTGCAGTCCAGGGCATACAGATTGGTCCTTGTTGACACTGACTAGATTGCCATCTACAATCACAACACCGTTGAGTCCCTGTTGGATTGTGTAAAAAATATACAATGTAAGTATGGACAATCAAGTCTTTTTAACTAAAAAAATATGTTTAGTCAATTAATTTATTAAGCTGTATGACAAGCGCTTTAAATTATAAGTTTTATACTTGCAGCGTTAGGAAGAACATTCAAATAAAATAAAATTAAAAAAAAAAATAAACAAAATTAAATTAAGCTAAACATGTGATGATTAAAATAACAACTAGTTGGCTGGCTGCTGTGAAATTATCTGAATTATTTATTATGTAAGTTTTTTTCCTCGTCAAGTCCGTATTTTCATCCAATCATTTAAGTTAAACAACTGTCCTTGTCATAGCTCAATTAATATCTAAAAACTATCTAAATCTAAGATATAATCAACTATAAAGTACCAAATAATATTTAAAGTTGATTTCAATGTTTTGATAAAGACTTACCGCCATGACTTTGAGGCTTCCCTTGGGCTCCGCATCGAGCGAAGTCCGGATCACCTGACCGCTCTTGGACACCAGATCCAGGCTGATCAACTGCTTGCCGTCCACACAGACGTAGAAGGTGCCGCTGAGTGAGCAGCTCTCCGGAGTGATCCAGGAGGCCATCACCTTGCTGGTGCTGCCAGTGCTGTGGCCCGAACTGGCGAAATAGGCGGTGACCTCCAGGTGGCTACGCCAGGCGGGCAGCACGTGGTAGAGCACGGATCTGCTGTAGAACCACAGCGCCTCCTGGGCCCGCTCAGTGTTCAGCGGCATCATGGACCACTCCCACTCGATGGCGCCCATGTTGGTGTTCCAGCCACGCACTAGAGCGGGCGCATGTCCCTGTACGGTGAGCATGTCGAAGCCAAGGTTGCTGCCCATGGGAGCGGCGGCCGTGTCGCTGCTGTCGTCAGAAAATCCACTCACTTGCAGTAGCTTGATGTCGCCGCGCGGCTTTTGCTCCAGCACCTGGCGCCACACCAGCTCGCCGGTCTTTACGCACAAGCTGGCCACCACTCCCTCATGGGTGCTGAGCAGAATCCGCGGCTGGAAGTGGTTCAGGTCCACCCGGGATTGCTTCAACGCGCCCACATTCACGCCTCGCCTGCAGAAGACACATTTATCTGCCAGGTCAATGGTCACCTATCAGGCCACACTCACCAGTCAAACTTCTTAATCTGGTCTTCGTACAGGGCCGAGCAGGTGCCCAATAGCAGAAGTGCCAGCGAAAGGCCGGCTAGTAAGCACTTCTCCTGCATGTCGTCCGCCTTGTTTTCTCCCCTGCGACTCCTGCGAGCTCTAATTATTCAACTTCCGATGCCTTTTTATGTTATAAACTAATAGAAATCCACATTAATTTGTGTTTTCCGTCACAGCAAAGGATGAGAAGAAGAAATTGGAGCAGGGTTGGCTACGACAATGTTATCGATATTTGTTCGGTGCCTAACCCGATACTCAAACCAATTTTTATGCCCTGCTCACACTGCCGCAGGTTTTGCTTTTACAGTGCCCGCTCAAGAGCTTTAGCACTCGGTTTTCCACAGTTAAAATTTCAAAATAAAATATATGATTTTAAAAATTTACTCTTGTGTTCAGATTTATTTTTATATTTGATTTGGTAAGCACATTACATCATTGCTAAGTCTTTAATATAGGAATTGACACAACAGAATTGTTGAACATCTACAGCGATCATGTTCTTTACCATCCTTGCTGAGCATTAAAGACTTGAGTAAACTCACTCATACTAATGATAATTAATTCATTTCACTCATACTATTGATTTTTAATTCATTTCGTTTTGTTTTGCGAAAATTTAAAAATAAACAAACCCATATCAGCTGATCATGCCACTCACATGACGTAGTACCATTAGCTAAATGCTAATTTGGCATTGGAATCAGGCTATTAGAGATGGAAAACATCGATGTTGGCTTGCGGAACATCGATGTTACCGATGTTTTGAAAACATCGATGACATCGGTGTTTTCCACCTCTAATTTCGTGAAACACAAACCAACAAACGCATACCAAATTGTAATTGACAATCTCAAAAAATTAAAATAATCCTTTAAACAACCAACCGGTAACCAAACAAATAGCTTCGCGATTTCCACGTACGAGTAATGTTTGAAAAGAAGAGCGATAAGGTCAAGCAGGCTGAGCACAAGCCGCGGGACGATGGCGTCGAACTGGAGAGCCAGTTTATCATGCGCGTGCCGAAGGTAAGACATAGGGCTTTATTTTCACCATGTCGGCTAATTATTGATCCTTGGCTAGGAATTGGCCGACAGTGTCCATGAAGCAATAAATGCGGGCACCGTGAAGGACCGCCTGACCATCCAACTGGACCAGGATCTAAGGTACGGCGAAGTGCGACTGGACGACCAATTGCTGTACACAAAACTTCTGGATTTGCCCACTGTCGTGGAGAGCTACAAGACCATCGACAACAAGAGCTTCTACAAGTCGGCGGACATCTGCCAAATACTCATTTGCAAGGAGGAGCCGGATGACGAAACGGAGAAGGAGTCGCCGAACAAAAACAAGAAGAAGGATCCCAATAAGGTGGATAAGAAGTACCTGTTTCCGCACGGCATCACTCCGCCCTGCAAGAATGTGAGGAAACGTCGATTCCGTAAGACGCTAAAGAAAAAAAATGTCGAAGCTCCGGAAATCGAAAAGGAAGTAAAGCATCTGCTCCGCATTGACAACGAAGCTGTCAGGGTGGACTATGAAATCATCAACGAGGAGGATAAGCCAATGGATGACATGGATCAATCGGAAATAAAGCCCTACAACGATGCGGATGATGATCTGCAGGACGAAACCACTATGCATGCCAGCGATAAGACGATCATGGAAATGAGCTCCCAGCAGGACATCAATGTGGAGTCCGACGATGACGAAGCCAGCAACTTTCCCTCACATCGGGCGCCCAACATGGGAGTTGCTGCCCACGACATCTTCGGCGAGGAAGTGTCCACAACGGATGACGAGGACGAACCAAATCGGGGCAACAACAACATTCAGCAGCGGGAGATGGAAGAGTCTTCACGCCTCTCGGCGGATGATTCACGCATGTCGGACTTCTTTGGCGCTAGTGGCAGTAATGCCGGTGCCGGCGGCATGAAAATGGAGCAAAACGAGTTCAGCAAATCAATGTTTAATCATGAGGCAAGCAGTCCCAAGCTGAGCGCCGCCGGCTCCAGTTCCAACCTGGCTGCTCCTAGTGGCTTCTACGACACCCAGATGTTGTCCAAGCGAGAGGAGTTCGAGAATATGGAGTTCGTAGACGAGCCGCAGCCGCAGTTTACGCAGCAACAGGTGCACCAGAAGATCAGTCAACTAACGCGGCAGATCAGCGAGCTGAAGGCGCAGCAGGTACAGAAATCCACGGAAATCGCTTCCATCCAGAATGCCACGCTGAAGCAACGTATGCAGGAGACATTGGATAATCTCTACACTCAGGTCATCGAAAGAGAACTGGAGCTGAAGGACTTTGAGAACATGTTGGAGTCCTAAAGCTAAAACAGAGTGTAAACTGACTGTCGAAGGCTAGTAGTTTAGTTAGTTTTATTTAGTTTTACAAAAAAGTTTATAAATAGCTTTTTCATTATAGAATGTCGGTCGGTGATTGTTTAATATTAACTGCAACTAGGCAAGTTTAACAACCTACGCCAAGAAATTTTGTTTACTTTTTGGGCTTATCATTATTCTCTGTAATTCTTTACTTTAATAGAATTGATAAGTTAGCGATAGCCATCAATCTAAAAGGTCGCATAGAAAAAAATGTACTCTTCAAAGTTATCAGCATTCTGCAGTATCATATAGAAACTCTGTTTAGAACTGACGAATGTGTGACGCAGCCTTAAACCACATATGAAATGATGCATAGCTTCGGCATGTCGAACATACCTTGAGTTGAGATGGACGATATCGAATACGTAATTCCATATCTTGAAATCCCAAGCATGCATGTATCACATTCAAAAGTTGATGCAACGGTTCTGATGTCTATGATCATAGTCTAAATGTCTTTATTATTGGCATTCGCAATCACATTTTACAGATATTCAAGATGGGCAACAAAGAGGATTATATTTTGTACTATAAGTGTGAAGTTCCAGAGACAAAACAACACGTTTTAAATCAAGGTATTTTAGTTTGAGAAAGCACGTTAGCTTTTCACTTAAGAACTAAGAAGGTAGAAGGTAGGTGTGTAAATAGGAATGGGAGGGTTTTAACTCTAGATAAACTAAATGCAAAAATTTTGTGACAGCAATTTGACGCCTTCTATGGCTTGGTGATACTGCATGAGTTACTTTTTTCGTTTGTGGTGGGCAAAAGAGTAAAAAACTGGTTTCCAAAGGCCAATTCCCAACGTTTGGAACTTGGAACTTCATTTGGAATCACCAACTCAGCTCATCGGGCAGCCCACCGGGATATTCTCCAGTGAGACAGGCGGTGCAGTGACCCGTGGGCTTGGACTTGTTGTCCGCTGCATCTCGGTGCTTCAACTGGACAGCTTCCACCAGTCCCCCCACACTTAGATAAGCTAGACTGTCGGCGCCCACATGCCTGGCTAATTGTGCGGCATTCAGTTTGTTGGCAATCAATTCCTCACGAGTTGGAATATTGATGCCCATATAACAGGGATACTGCAGCGGCGGGCTGGCAATGCGAATGTGCACCTCCCGGGCGCCGGCATCGCGCAGCAGCTTAATGATGGGTCCAATGGTGTTGCCTCGCACGATGGAATCGTCTATCAGGACCAACCTCTTGCCAGCCACGTTCTCGGACAGAGCCCCAAACTTCTTGGCCACTCCCAGCTGCCGCAACCTGGTCGAGGGTTGAATAAAAGTGCGTCCTACGTAACGATTTCTGCAGAGAACCTCGGCAAACTCAATGCCAGACTCACGGGCATAGCCATGAGCCGCCGCCGTGCCGGATTCGGGAACGGAACTCACGATGTCGGCCGTCACGGGAGCCTCACGCCACAGCTGCCTGCCGCACTGCAGACGCACTGTGTAGACCATCTGGCCCTCGAAGATACTATCGCCGCGGGCGAAGTAAACGTACTCAAAGATACAAAACGCCATGCGCTTGAAGTCGGGCCTTTCCACGATGTCCACCGTGCGGTAGCCACTCCGCGAGAGTTCCACAATCTCCCCTGGCTCCACTTCTCGTACGTATCTGGCTCCGATGGAGAGGAATCCGCAGCTCTCACTGGAAACCACCCAGCCATCAGCGGGAGTTTCAGCGCTATTGCCATGCCCAGCATTGATGGGAACAATCTTTCCTATGCACAATGGCCTGTTGCCATAGGTGTCCCTCACGGCGTAGATCTTGTCCTTCAGCATGATCACCAGCGAGTAGGAGAGCGGCGCCAGCATCATGAAATGCCTGATTCTGGCCGGCCAGTTGGGGCCATCCAGTTCGGAAACATCCTCCGGCGCACAGCACAGCGATTGGGCGATCAACTCACTGTCGCTGTGGGTGGACAAACCCACTCCCCTGGCCAGAACCTCCCGCCGCAGAGATTCGTTGTTCACCAGCTCGCCATTGTGGGCCAGGGCCAGTGCTCCATGAGCCGTGTGCACCACAAAGGGCTGGCAGTTGACCACTCCTGAGCCGCCGGCGGTGGAGTAGCGCGTGTGTCCGATGCCCAGATTGCCGCGCAGCTTCTTCATGGAATCATCGTTGAAGAGGGTGCTGATCATGCCCATGCCCTTGTGCACGTTGAAGTTCTTGGAGCAGTTGCCCTCGCTAGTGGCTATACCCGCGGATTCCTGACCGCGATGTTGCAGTGCCACCAGTCCCAAGCAAATCACGTGTGCAATGTCCATTTGTGCTGGCCAATCCCCGCAAGCGATGGCCCCAAAAACGCCACACTCGTGGGTCAAACCGGTTAGCTCCTTGCTGGCCGAGATGGATTCCGATTCCAAAGTGGGGGTCACAGCCTCTTGTTGTTGTTGCTGCTGCTGCTGCTGCCCGACCACGCGCACATGTTGCGACTGTTGCTGCTGCTGTGGCGTTGACATGTTGCTGCTGGGAGACAAGTGCAATGTGGTAACTTTGAATTGCCGATTGCAGTTCGTGGCGCAGTTGGCGTCGATCTGACTTACCTGTTGATTTACGCAACGATTTTATACAAGAAAAATCCTCGCACGCTCGCACGCAGCTTAATTTTGTGTGGTGGTATGGGGAAGGGGCCGTAATCGAACGAGATCAAGCCCAATATCGATCGGTCGCTGCTATCGATAGTCCGTGGCCCTAAATCGATAACGACGTTCATACCAAATTCCCTTCGACAACTTCAGTTGTGGGGCTTTTTCGAGCTCTATATCTATATTGGTAAGCCTCTTCCTATAACATGAATTATAAAGTTGAAAAATGTTCCATTTCTAGTAAAATAAGTTAGTGATGACCGAAAACGGTTCAGCAGAACTGGAGATCAAAAACAAAAAAGACATAAAAACAAGTGAAAAACGTTATTTACACTTGAAACCAAATTATACAATAAAAATAAATTTGAATGTAACTTTCTGAATTGATATCTGGAGGATTGTTTTGATTGAAGTTTGTAAGCTTTTTAAAGTTTTTTATATTTTTAATCTGGTTTCTCTTAACATTTATTTACTAAATATAAGCCAAATTTAAATTAAAACACATTAAAAAAAACATATTAACATTTATTGTCGAGTTGAAGTAAATTAAAATAGCATGTACATATACGAAAGTCAAATATCCAAAGTATATTTTTTAACCATGTTTTTTTCCTTCCTTACTATTTTGCTGTTGCGTAAATATATATATATATAAATATATATATATTTATATACTTGACAAGTAACTGAATTAAATGCGATTGGTTTAATTGTTTGGTGTCATGATGAGGGAATCGGAATTTAATGAAAACAGCCAACTTAAGTACTTGAATCGATATTCGAATTCCGCTTTGTACATCGTGCAGTTGAGTGATAAGATAACTTGTGGAATTAACTATTCCTGCTTTTCCGTCTCGTTAGGGCTAGCTAGTGAAGTAACTACTTCGAGGGACAGAGCTTCTCGGTGAAGAATGGAGCCTCCTTCAGCTTGGCTTTGTCCGCCTCGTCCAGAAGTCCCTTGGCCTGCTCAATGTCCGCCCGAATGGCGGCGATCAGCGACTCCAGGGAGTCGAAACTGCGCTCTGGTCGCAAGAATCCCACAATGCATATCTTAAGTATCCGGCCGTAGAGGTCGCAGTTGAAGTTGTGCAGCATGTGCGTCTCCACGCTCTTCTCCTTGTTGCTATAGAAGGGATTCCAGCCGACGCTGAGAACCATTTTGTACACGGGTCCATTGTCCACGTTCGCCCAGCCGTAGTAGGCGCCCGTGGGCAGTGATTCCGGCAGGGATTTCACCACCTCCAGCGGAAAGTTAGCTAACAAGTGGTTTGGTTATCAATTAGCAATGACCTTCGGGGTTCACTTGACGTCGCCACCAACCTGTTGGGATGCCCAGCTCTTTGGAGCCGCGTCCGAATCCCTTGACGATCTCGCCGCTGGCGAAGAGTGGTAGTTGACTGAGCATTTCCCGGATTTCGCTGGACTCTAACCCTGTGCTGCGGTGGCGCTCGATATGATTTCCCCAGGTCCACGAGCGGTTAATTTGTGGTATTCTCGGTGACCGCAAAGCGTAGCGGGCCAATTTATCGAATCTGGCGAAGAATCAAGCGGGGTTCCCTACAGAGCTCGATGTGATTACCGCCTAGCCACTCACATAACTATTACTTTTCCCATTGATCAGCACAACATTCACAAACACAGACATTCAGAAAAAGTTCGCACTCAGAAAGTTACCAAATCAGCTGTTTGAAAACGGAGCTGCCAACTTGTTGCAGTTTATTGGAGCAGGCGCGTAGAACAACTTATTTGTGAGGGGGGTTATATCAAATTTTTCAATTCGCATTTTTATTTACCAAACGGGCACGTATTAGTTAAGCTGTTTAAGAATAACATGTACGTTTACCAATTAATTAATTCGTACAGTTTTAAGCGGTATTTAGGTAACAAATATATGTAGGATAATTTGAATTAATTTTCTTAATTTATTTGCTTTATAGCTGTTTTGTTATATTTCATATACCTATGTTATATTTATATGTAAACTTCCTAATAATATGTAAAATTGGGTTTTTAAATATTTAAATATATAAATATTTTTATAATATAAGTTGGTTTTAAGTCAATCACATGTAAGAAAAATTGACAACAGAATAATATTTAAGAACAATACTGAATGATGAAGTAACCTTTTTGCACCTGTAGCTGTATATTTTTATAAATACATCCTAATAATATATAAAATTGGGTTTAAAAATATTTAAATATATATATAATTTTAATAATATATGTTGGTTTTAAGTTAATCACATGTAAAAAACATTGACAGCAGAATAATATGTAAAAACAATACTGAATGTTAATAGAGTAACCTCTTTGCACCACCCTGTTCAAACCTCATGCACACACACACTTTTTCAGAAAAATTTACTGTTCATTTTTATGAATTACCAGCGATGAGTCCATCAAAACCATTGTAAAATCAAATTCAACGGAGAATGGCAAGATCTCGCAAGATTTTGATTTCCAATCGTATTTTGAGTATTTATTGAATAACATAATATAATATAATATTAATAATATTTTAATAATATTTGAAAAGTCTTGCTTGGAGATTATTTGACGATAAAGATCATGAAGAACGTGTGCCGGTTTTGTATGGACGAGACAGCCACTCTGGTGAATATCTTCACCGATGTCCGCGATCCGACTCTCGACAAGCCGGAGATGAACCTCTCAGACATTCTGGTCCAGTGCACCAATCGCCCAGTGGAACGCGGGGACCTCCTGCCGCAGTTCATCTGCCTGTCCTGCGTCCTGGCCGCCCAAAACGCCTTTCGGTTCAAGTGGATGAGCGAGCGGAGCTACCAGCACTACTGCCAAGTCCTCAAACAGCCATTCCCGGCGGAAAACATGATGGAAAGTGGTCCTCATCAGGAGCAAAAACTGGGAGCGCAGCTTCGAACGAACTCTTATAAGTATCAGGACCTCCATCAGAAGCCGATCCAAGGAGATCGGCGTAATCATCAAGAGCAGAAACTGGAAACGCAGACTGATCAGAACCAAGCAGATGTTCCAGCCGAATTTAATTCAATTCCAGATCTTCGCAAGAGGCCTATTGCAGGGTAATACATTCTTGTAATTTGATTTAAGTAGGCTTTTCAATGAGTTCCTGTGAATTCGAATAGGCTTCTAACTACGATCCATGAACTATTTATTTCGTGATCTTTGGAAAAGTGATTCAAATATCGATTTATTTGCGTACATTATTTGAGAAAACATTGAAGCTATGATGATTTTAAGCTCAATTCTTCGATCGTTTCTATGGCAGCTATATGATGTCGTTTTCCGATTTGAATAAAACTAAAACCGTTATTCTGAATTGCCTAGACTATATTACTAAATCCAAAAGATATATAAAAATAAATAACACAGGAAAGGAAGCAAACTTCGGCAAGCCGAAGTTTATATACATACCTTAAAGCTATTTAAAAATTAAATATTATTGAAAACTTTTAAATTTCGATTTTTATGCGAATATGTTTAAAAACATTTTAGCTATGATGATTTTCAGCTCAATTGTTCGATCGTTCCTATGGCAGCGATATGAGATCGTTTTCCGATCTGAATAAAACTAAAATCTTAAATCTGAACTATAAAATAATTACTATTTCCACAAGAATTTGAAAATAAAAATTCAAAAATAGAGAAGTTATTTTTTCCATGTGAGTCACAAGTCGTCCGATTTTAATAGAATTTAAACTCTAACTCTAAAATTGTAAATTCTAAATAACTATAAATTAAAAAAAGGAGCAAAACCATAATTTTGTTCTTCTTTTTTTCCCCTGAAAAGTTAGATAGTTTTATTATATTCGAAAAACGATGTCATATAGCCGTTTGCTAAACATATTAGCATAAAATTCGGAATGTTGTTGTGTTCAAAAATATTTAATTTTTGGAATAGCTTGCTTCTTTTTTGTTATTTAGGCTTTAAAGCCTCCCCAAAGGTAATTTGTTAAAAAAAAAGTACTAAGGTATAGCCAAAAGCTGCGACAAAAAATGCCTGCGAAGGCAAAAAGTTTAAATACGTGGCTGAAGCGGTCCGAACGGGAACATTTTAAAAGTTTATTCATTTCGTCGAATGTTTGTTAATTTTTTCGTAACAAAATTTGATATCAGAAATTGTGTTTAAGGTGCGATAGTGGCGACATTTTTTTCTGGTTAAGAAATGTTTTTATTTGACATCCTATAGCTGCCATATATCTGTAATACTAACCATACAGTTATTTGCCGACTATTCATAGAGTGTTATTTAGATTTTTGAAACTTTAAAATATTTTTCTCAATTCCATTTTGCTATTTAGTAATAATCGGAAAACTATTATATTGCTGCCATAGAAACAATTGAATAATTGAGAGGAAAATCATTTTGGCTTTGCTACTTTTAATAATATACATTTTTTTCAATTGACCTTCAAGAAGATTTCTCTAAAATATATTAAATATTAAATAAATATTTAAAATTTGGTTTTACTTAAGTCATAAGCTAGAACCAGTCTACGGAAACCAAACGTCCAGAGGTGATGTTAATCAACTAATGGCGGATCGTTCAAAAAAAAGATAATTGCATGGCCACAACAGCTAACTTAATCGAATTATTATTATTTTTATTTTCAGGAGGGCCAAAATGATGCAGCGACGAGTGCGTTCCGATGCCAATGGCAACTACAAGTGCCCGCACTGCCCCAAGATGTTCTCCTCTCAAACTCAGTTGAGGGCTCATATCAGTAAGATGTGCCACAGGTGCCCCTACTGCCCAAGGTCGTGCACTAACAAGTACAACCTGCGGCGACATCTGCTGACCCACATAAGCAAGCCAACGCACAAGTGCCCTCACTGCCCAAAGGCCTTCGTGCGGAAGGATTACCTCAAGAGACACCTTCGCAGCCACGACAACGATGGTCCGCTCTCCTGCAGCGAGTGCTCGGCCGTGTTCAGCGAGGGCCTCCAGCTGATACTTCATCGGAGGGAGCACCTACCGGAGCACTTACTGGGATCGTTCGAATCCGATTCCACAAAGGACCTCGACCTCGACTCGGAGGTGAGCGATCAGGAGGAGGATATGAAACCGCAGGTCAATGGCAGGTCAAAGGGTCAATCTTTGCCTAAAACGTGGGTGTGAGTTCAGCGCACTATTTGAACGATTTTAACTTTGTTGTATTTCCAACCAGAACGGGCGATACGTTTTTCGACAAAGAGAATTTGAGTATTCATAATGTGCTTGGACCCAAGCTGCTGCGGTGGGTAATATTGTTTATGAGAAACACTATTTTTGCTGGTCTTATGTAACTTAACTTTACCCTTTTTGTAACTTTTCAGCAAGTGGAATTTTCTAAAACCAGATGTTTCTTTTCAAAGTACGACAAGCGAAGAAGCTGACCCTAAAAATAACGATATGAACTTTCCAACCAACAGCAAACCGAAGTGCCATGTTTGCTTCAAGGACTTTTTTAGTAATTCCAACCTGAGGCGACATATGCTCATCCACAATCGAGGTTTGGACCCAGTAAAATGCTCTTACTGTAGCAAGGAATTCCGCACAGAGGCTCATCTCAAGAGGCATGAACGTGGTCACTCGGGAGATCTGTTTCGCTGCGAGTTCTGCTGTTTGGTGTTCGTGGATGTGGAATATTTGCGAAAGCACAAAAAACGTATTCACAGCAACACCTTGGCATCAATCCAAGGGAAGATAATGTCCAAGAGGATGGCCATCCCGGCGACCATATAACTAGCAGAACACTTTTTATACCCACTGTTATAATATCCAATTTCTTTGCTGACTGAAAACCTAATCATTTGTTATTCGGTACTAAAATTTAGTTTTCTCAATTGTGTTTTTAGTTTGATTTGTTCAAAATAATTTGAACGAAAGGACCATTGCGAGAATAACTGTCATATGGTTTAACTATAATTTAAAGATTACTATTTTTGAATATTAATTGAATATGTCCATTTCATTGGAGTATGGATTGACCACTCTAGGAGTTTGATTACATTTAATCTTAAGTCCTGTTAACCCTTGAAGAAACGAATTTTGGATATTTTTTAAGTTTCATAACAATTAAAAAATAAACAATTTTTAGGTTTAATCTTTAAATAGTATATTCTACCCTTTATCCTTTTTTTACACAGATTAAAATCCGGTCAAAACGGTAAAAAATAAGTCCGTTTGTTCAAACTTCATGAACGCTCGTTCATAAAATTTTCAAGCAATTTAGTGTGGATTTCCGAACCATTTTTGATTTTGTTCGTTCTTTTTTTCTGTGTGAACTTATCAAGAATTTTTTTAGGACAACGTGCGTTTTCGTATAAATACCATCGTTAAAAAATGTGGTCTCCGAGTTTCAAAGTAGACGTTTTAATTTTAGAAGCTTTCAATAAATAAATGAAAATTGGCAATTACACTTTTTTTTGTTACTGGTCTACCTAATTTTGGTCCCATTTCAGATTTGCTTTCTATATGGTCGTCTTTGATTTTCCTTCATAACAAGGACCGAAATAATCGTTTAAAATGAAAAATAAATATATTTCGATATCGGAGCCTATAAAATAAAACTTTATATGACTTTAAACAAGAAAAAAAGCCAGCTTCGGTAAGTTGAAGTTTACATACCCTTGAAGTTATAACAATTATTTAATAAAAATATTGTATAAAATAAATAAGTAGAAACAAATTTTTGGTTGGTATATATTTATTCGTTCAACATCTGCCGATACCAAATAGACTTTCCAACCTTTCAAACTTTATACGGTAAATAGATGTCAGATTTTTGATGAGTTAAAATTAATATTTTTAATATTACGGTTTTTTTTTATATGAGCTTTATGACATAGTCGTCCGATTTGAATCAAATTTAAAACGTAATTCTTAAAAAAGAAACCATTACTTAATACAGAAAAACTGACTACAAAAATTTTAAAACAGTTGTTATTTTTTTTTTTCGATTGTTCCTATGGGAGCTATATGCTATAGTCGTCCGCTCCGGATCGTTCCGACTTATGTACTAGCTGCAAAGAAGGAAAACTTTTGGGAAAGTTTAATGCAGATAGCTTTAAAATTGAGAGACTAGTTTGCGTAGAAACGGACGGACAGACGGACATGGCTAGATCGACTCTACTAGTGATGCTGATCAAGAATATATATAGTTTATAGGGTCGGAAACGTCTTCTAACTGCGTTGCAAACTTCTGACTGAAATTATATTACCCTCTGCAAGGGTATAATAAAAATATTGTACAAAATAAATAAAGAGCAACAAATTTTTGGTTGGTATTTATTTATTTGTTCAACATTTGTCGAATAGACTTTTCAAGCTTTTAAACTGTTTAGGTAAATTGATATCCGATTTTTTGTTGAGTTAAAGTTAATATTTTTAGTATTTCGGTTTTTTTATGTGAGCTATATGACATAGTCGTCCGATTTAAATCAAATTTAAAACGTAATTCTTAAAAAAGAAACCATCACTAAATATCGAAAAACTAACTAAACATAGGACGGACGGACAGACGGACATGGCTAGAGCGACTCTGCTAGTGATGCTGATCAAGAATATATATACTTCATAGGATCGGAAATGTCTCCTTCACTGCGTTGCAAACTCCTGACTAAAATCATAAAATTCTCTGCAAGGGTAAACAAATAAACGGATCAAAATTTTAAAAAATTTACGGTTTCGGGTTGTTGTATTGCCTGCTCTACAGAAATATAGATTTCTGATTTTAATTTTTGGACATGAAATGCGGCTGTGGCTGAGTTTTCCGACCATTTGATACCCGTTACCCAGCTAACAAATTTCAGACTAAATATTCGCAAAACAAAACAAACAATGTCTGTGTGGCGTCAGAAGATTTAATTACTTAATAACTTATATGATAACAGGTCGGTTTCCGATCAATAACTCAGAGTGACGTGACAGACTTTCACGATTTGTGGATGTTAAAGTTTATTTAAAAATAAATAATGGCAGCTATATAAAATCGTTGTCCGAATTTTATATAACTAAAATCTTAATTTTTGAATTTTGAAATAGCAAACCATTGTACCGAACTATATTAAAATCAATTGAGAAAACGAGAGACTAAAATCGTAATTTTAATATATTAAACTATTTCTATATGCCAATTTTAAAGCAAATTGAAAAAACTGCGAAGTTAAAATTTTTTTTTTTATTTTTATGATTGTGTCAATAGGAGCTATATGACAAAGTCTTCAGATTTTAACAAAATTATTTAATCTTTATTAAAAAGTGTACAAAAAAAGGAAAAACAGCGAAGCTATAATTTTTTGTCATATATTTTTCCGATTGTTCATATGGAACCTATAAAATATAGTCGTTCGATCTGGCCCATTCCGACTTGCTTACAACCTACAACAGAAAGACAACTTTTGGGAAAGTAGCCTTACAACTTAGAGACTAATTTGCGTAGAAAAGGACGGATAGACGGATTGGAATATATATATTTAAAATATTTGTTGTTGTAGCTAAGCAAATTAGAAATACTGTGTTTTAAAGTGTTTGGATTCGAAATGATATATAACCAAATAAGTCAAAAAAACAAGATATACGCAAAATTCTTTGAAAACAATCAATTTATCGGAATTCACCCGATTGTTCTTATGGCAACTATAATATATAGTAGTGCGATCGTCCAGATTTTCATATATACAAATAAGGATGTAGTCAATTGATTTTGATCAAATATTTAGGAATTGGGTTTAAACACTGGTTTTGGCGAAAATCAGCGATTTATACTTTGTGCAGCTATAGGATAAAGACGTCCGATCTTGGCCGATTTCTTCTTCCCAATTTTATTAATTTAAAAGTTTTTATATGCACTAAATAAAGTTTAGCTTTGGGTGTTATATTTGAATTAAACTCTTAAACAAATTGAAAACACAATAATGAACACTTTTTAAATGGCAACAGAAAAATATATTATATTCTTATTAAACGCATGTAAATACTTTAGTGGTTCTTAAAGCACATTTAATGTGCAGACGAAGTGACCGATTAAACTAGAGGTTACATAACTTTATATGATGTCTGGTTTTTAAAAATAAGTGAAACTAAAAACGTTTTAAATTAAATAAAAAATGACAACTTCCTAAATGAATAACAAACGAAATAAAATCTTTGATTTCACATTGAGAACAGTTTCTTGAGCTCCGCGAGGTTGAGTCCACCGCCACCACGAGCGGACACTCCTCCCTCTTCCTCGGGCAGCACCACTTTGGCAATTTCCAACTTGTAATCCTGTAGCGCCTTGATGCGCTGCTCCACAGTGTCCAGGCACATATAGCGATAAATGAAGGTGGGCTTGCACTGACCATATCGATAAATACGATCCTGAGCCTGCCGCTCCAGCTGGGGATTCCAATGGAGGTCCACCATGAGCATATGGTTGGCAACGTTGAGATTCAGGCCTACTCCGCCAGCAGTGAGCGAGAGCAGGAGAACCCGCTTGTCATTATCGGCACTAAAGTCTCGCAACACGATCTCGCGTTCTTTGGCGCACAGCTGGCCATTAAAGTCAAGCGTTTCCCACGACTGATCCTGCAGACGCTTTCGGATGATAGCTAGATAGCTGATCCACTGTGATGTAACTATGATCTTGTCGTTGGTACCCGTGAGCAGCTCCTCCAGCTTATCAATGACAAGCTTTAGTTTGGCAGACGAGCGTTTGAACTCGAAAATAGGATTCTGAGGACTAAGAAGCTTCAGAGCCCTTGCCGCATCTAATGGATTAGCTGAAGAACTGCTTGATAATTGTTCATCTCCCATATCCCATGGCACAATCTCTTCTTTAATGCCTTCGTTCTCATTTTTTACTTCATTCGTCCGGGCAACGCTTGTCCTGGGAACGCTATCATCCTGGTCAAAGAAATCCTCATCATCAGCGGGTTGATCATATTTGTCCAACTCCGCAAGTACATCCATCTTAAGCTGGCCCTCCTCCACATCTGTGGCGTCAACCCTTATGTTGTGCACATCTTCAGCAGTCATGGAACCACAAAGCATCTGGCGAAAGATGAAAGTTTAATTAAATATTCTCTAAGCTATTCTAACAATACCTACCCCAAGCATTAGACCCGGGTGGCAACAGAATTGTCGCAAGCGCAGCAGTAGCACCAGGATAACTATACCCTTGATCTTAGCTTTCGGATTGTAGCCAAGCGATCTCAAGAATCTATGGTAGATCTCTGTGTACTTGGCCTCAAAAATGTCCTTAATAAACTGAGGTGTCGCTTCCAGCGAATAATAGTTTAAATCGCTGTTGCCCTTCTCGCGTTGCAGCAGAAACTGCGTGAAGATTTTTTGCGAGATGGCAGACAGGATCTGGTACACAGCCATTTCCGGCTCCGAGAGCTGCACACAGATTAGTTCAACCCTTAGAGGGGGCAGGGCAGGCATGTCTCCCGAATCCTGGAGCTGTTGCTTCGTCCTGCGCAGCATTAGAGGTTTGATAATGAAGTTCAGTCGGCGGTGGGCGTGCATGCCTTCGTTTAAGTACCTCTTCCACTGCTGGAGGTCGCGAAAGTTGGGTACTTCCAGAAAGCGAAGCAGGGCGAACACGTCGATGGCACGATTCTGGACAGGAGTGCCGGTTAAGGCCCAATGGCAACGGGCTTTCAGTTGGCACACGGAACTGCAGCAACTGGTCTTCACATTTCGAATGATGTGCGCCTCGTCGAGGATCACACGGTTCCAGCGGACGGCAAACAACAGGGATCTGTTCCCAAATCTCTTGTACTCGCTCATCAAGACATTGTACGAAGTAATAACTAAATCATAGCTTCTGAACACTTCTAGCCCGATCTCACGGCGGTTGGCTCCGTGGAAGGTCAACACCTTGATGGCATTCAGTGCCACCTTGGTCAACACTTCCTGGGCCCACTGGCACATCACGCTCATGGGACACACAACCAGTGTGTCCGCCGTGGGAACAGTTGCCAGGTTCTCCTCTTCTTCATCTGAACTGAAAACCACTGTTTCGGGCGCTTGGCATTCGCGCTTCACTGGCGGTTCGTACGCCTCTTTCTCCTCTTCGGACTCTTCTTCATCATCGAAAATACGAAATTTTGGCATTTTCTTTGTCTTAAATCGATTGAACTCTTGGGTCCACTTTTGCTCCAGGGAACGCTGCTTATCCGCCCGTTTTTTGTTTTTAGTTTCCTGTGCAGCCAGCACCAGGGCAATCATACTCAGGGTCTTGCCCAGACCCATGTCGTCGGCCAAAATTCCGCCAGAGATCTTCTGCCGCTCACGGAACTGCATCCATTTCAGGCCTGCCTGCTGATGCTTCAACAGTCGCACCATTAGAAGGGCAGGCTGCTTCTCCAAGTCATCGGTCGCAGGAGTGGGCTCCGAAGGCTCATACAGCGTCTAAAATATATATATAATATATAATATATAGAACATGAAAGAAAAGAGGTAAGTGTGAATCTACAATTTATCCTTTGCTATTTCTTAAGCTATCGAATTTTACATTTGCGGGACCCAAAACATTTTTCAACTTTTATTTATTTGGCAAATTCTTGAACCTAGGTAACTGTCTAGTATGCGGGCAGTGATTTCTTAAGAAGTCATGTGAAAAGATGATCAATTTATAACTACATAGTTTGTGTAAATCTTAAGAAATTGAGAGCCAAGATTCTAAAGTTTCCAAATTCAGCTGTAGTTTATTGATTTGAAAACCCTGAATAACTAAAAAATTAAATTTACTTTTTTTTAAATCTTATTATTCATATCCGATGTCAAAAATGTTTTATTTAAACACATACATATGTAGACTTTATCAATGAACAAAAAACCAAGCGTGCTATTTAGCAAAAAATCCGATTTTTTCCTGCTGCTTGCAATTTTTTTTTCACGGCGAATTTATTGTTCAATTTCGCGAGTTTGATTTCGTTTTGCATTTTTTTCTATCTTCCTTATTTAAGCATTACAAAAAACTTAATTGCCAATTTCATTTGTCCATCGAGGCAGTTATACTTGACAATTCTTAACTCTTAGAATTTGTAATATATTGATAGCGAAAGAAAAGACTTTATGTAAAATTGTAGCAATTGGTTGAAAAGTAAACTCTTTTTATAGAAAAAACCATAGTTTTAAAATTCGATTTAAAACTTTCCCCCGGCCCAATGTAGCAATTCTTTTCAAACTTCAAATGCTAGACGGGACCTTTCTTTCAGTTCTCCCATTAAGTCGGTTTTTTTGTAAATGTTTACAGATCGTTTAAATTTATTTCCCAATTTAAGATAATAAGGCCTTTGACGACTCCATTTTGTGTAAAAAAAAAACAATGTTGTTTTAATTTTTTTTTTTTGGTTGGGGAATATTTTGGATTTTTTGAATATATATTCTTTGTCAGCATCACTAGGATTGTCGATCTAGACGTGTCCGTCTATCCGTTCTTTTCTACGCAACACTAGTCTATTAGTTTTAAAACTTTCTGAATAAAACTGGGAGCTGTATGCTATAGTCGTCCGGTCCGGCTCTTTGCAACTTCTACTAATTGTTTTAAAACTGATGGGCTAGCTTGCGTAGAAACAAGTGGACAAACAATCGGACATGGCTAGATGTACCCTCCTAATGTATAATTATACATTATATACATTATATATTTATAGGGTCGGAAATGACTATAATACCCTCTGCAAGGGTATAACAAAATGAACTAATAACTAAAGGGATAAGTGAAACCTAAGTGAATTTCAAATTTGGAAACCTATTTCAGATACACAAACCATTTTTTTAATATATAAACTAAGAAAGTCTATAATAGGCTAAATTTCTTTTACCGTATAGTCTAAAAAACGAGATAATTTATGTACCTTCAGACTGTCGATAATGTTGCTCTTGTGCTGATAAAACTCGGCAGAAGTGTGCTTGGCTTTGTGGCGATAGCGGTTCAGACCGGAATACAAGTTGGACCAACGGGGCTGTTCGATCTGCTCGGCCTCCTCCTTGATCCTGTTGGCCGACTGATCCTCATGGACGCGCAGCGTGTCCAGAAACTCCCCCAATGCCTCTAGGCGCCCATTGAGTTTATCCAGGCGCAATTTCAGGTCGAGGAGCTCCTCGTTGGTGGAGCCATTCTCTTCCAGCTGGCGCTGCAGTTGCTCCATGCCCAGCATATTCTGCACCAGCTGATCGATCTGCTTCTTTTTTTCAGAATATTCCGAAGCGCTGACGAATATAGCACCTGCATTGCTTGCGTATTCTGTTGGTAAAATGAGACTAGGTAAGAATAAATGCATCTATGTATAAATCCACCCGCTTACCACTGGTCAATTCTTGACCATCGTCGTTTGTCGCCTGCTGGTCGAAAATGTCATCAGAACTGTCGGTCAATTTGTCGAATGTCTGATCACGGTTGCTGTTGTCTTCCAATGAAGATGAAATGTCCATGTGGTGAAGCGAAGAGTTTCCAAAACTAAACAAGGAATCATTTAGGTTTCTGATCGCTGCTGAACTGCAACAGGGCGGCGAATCAGATCTCGCATACACGTTTTTTGGCTCTGAAAGCTGATTAGTTGGCGGCAGCTGGTTGCTAATTTCCTTAGAGCTGTCGGTCAAGTTAAGGACTGTCTCATTTTGGACACTGCCGTTGTCTTCCAACGAAGAGGAGATGTCCATATCATGAAACAAAGAGTTTTTAAAACCACACGAGGAATTATTTATGTTTCCGATCGCTGCTGAACTGGAGCATGGCGGCGAACCCAATCTCGCGTACGGACTTTGTGACTCTGAAATCCAATCAATGTTAGTGTCTTGTTATTGAATATTTGATTGGGTACTTACTATCTGGAGCCATTTCTTTATAAAAACATTGATGTAATATAGCTTAAACACTTTCGAACAAGTCCGCGGGCAGTGTTGGTAACTGTCGCCTCGCCTTGCAGTGCAGTCTATCGAATGGCGTTTCGATAGCTGAAAACAGATGATATATTTTGTTCACACAAAGCACAATCCGTCCACAATCCATAAGTTCTGTTCCCACAGACATGCTGAAAAAAGACATTGGCGGTAGACGGTGACTGTCTGAATTGTATTTCACTTTTTCACCGTCTCTTCCAAAGAATACTGTAATGTGCATATAATTTTAGGCTTTGCCGTGCCAAAAATTTTCCTATAGGGCTAGATCAGGGGTGCATTAAGCTGTCTTATGGCAGTGCATTTACCAACACATTTAAAAAGTTTAGGAAAGGAAGTAAAGAAATCAGTTTTGAGCTGAGGAAAAGACAAAATCAAATTTCATTTGACTGAAATTGTTTTTGGCTTCAACCAGCTGTTTTAGTGGTGGCCCTAACGATATATCGTTAACTATCGGTCGTCAAAACATAAACAAAGTCAACAGTTCAACCATCTATGTTTATGTTTTGCTTTCTGGAAATCGGAGTTTTAAACTTGTTCAAAATCACAATAGTTTTCAAAACCGAAACAATATATCTCATTAGTCCGTCAAAGTCCGGCAAAGTTGAACGGCGGACTGCCACCTTTCCACACAGTCCATCCGTTGCAAACCATTGGAATTTTTAACAAATGTGAAACTCCGATTTCCACAGAGCACGTCCACCTTCCACCTTCCGATTTTAGCTTCAATTGCTGTGGTTTGTCAAAACGTAAACAAGGTCAACAGGTCAAACATCTTTGTTTATGTTTTGATGAGGTGCAGCCGTTAAGGTCAGTTGAAATCGGATAGTGGATGTGCTTTGTGGAAACCGGAGTTTCACTTTTTTAAAAAATGCCAACGGTGTTTCAGGGATAGACTGCGTGGAACGAGGGCTGCACGGCAGAAACACCGGCAAAATTAGTCCGTCAAATTTTAACGGCGGACTAATTGGGAAGTTTTTGAAACGGCAAAACCTTATGGACCATCCCTTCAACGGATGGTGGAAATTGGATGGATATCTGTGGAAATACCCTGTAAAGTTCATTCTTGCAATGTATCGATATTTGATGGCAATATTTTGGATGGGTGGCATCTCTGTTCGTGGTGTCATTATAAATTAAATGGCGCTGAGTTGCAAGCATTTTTTGTAAATTAATATTTGGTAAAAATGTCAAGTGAAAGTGAGCAGTACTTCAGCCACGAAGAGGAGGATTCGGTGGTCAACAACACAAGTTCAAGTTAGTAATTGGTGGTGAGAACTGAATGTAGTTAATTAGCTATTTCTTTACATTCCATGCGACCTAGTCCGATCAAGCAAATCTTCGCATCTCAGCAGCCAAAATAGCAAAGGCGCTGGCACGTTTATAGATGAAACGGATACTGAGCCGGAGGATTCCCGGCTGGTGGAGCAGTCGGAAGAATCAGAAGAGACCGGGACCGGTGAGTCGGCGGAATCTGAGGAATCTGAGGAAGCCAGTACATCGGAGGACGAGAGCGTTAACCCGCCAGCCAAGAGCACCAAAAAGAAAAGGCTCCGGCCTCTGGGAATCCCCTCCGATACCGAAGAAAGTGATGAGGAGCTGGAACAGCGCGCCCTCTCTCCCTGCACCCGAATGAGCATCACGGGGGTGCGACCCCAGGATCTCAGCGACGGCGACAGCGAGATCGAGTACAACGATGAGGAGCCGCAGACTCTACAGGCAGCCGCTGTAGGAGATGGCGTGCCGCGCTACACCACTCAATTCGCCGGCAACATCCAAGAGGCCCTGCACTCAACCCTCGGGGCTGCGGATCCAGATTCTCCGGATGAGTCCAGCAGTAGTGATGTCCTTATACTCAGCAACAAGGAGACGCCTATTGAAATATCGTCCAGCACGGATGAAGACGCCGCCAACAACAAGGAAAACATTCCCGGTTCTCGTTTAGTGCGTTCATCCAGATCATACTCGCCCAGAAGCAGCGCAGGTGCTCTGGGGACCAGTAAGAATCTCAGCCAGCCCACTATTCTGGCGGCCCTCAAGCAAAAAACACCGCCCGTCGCCCAACGCTATTTGGGGGTGAAGAGTGAAGAACAGCAGGTGGTCAGCCCGGAGGTCTACGAGGACGAGATGCGCAAGCTGGCTGAGAAGCGTACCCAGCTTAGCGAAGCAGAGAAGTTGTTCGAGAAGGTGGCCCACAAGCTGCCCGACAAGGGCAATCAGATTATGCAGCGCATAGACCGCCTACGCAAAGACGTCGACATAATTGAGCAAACCACGAACAGACTGAAAGTGGAACCGAGCAAGGTGCCCGTGATCAAGGTGCCGAAACCAATGTTCAATGCACCTCCGGCCCCACAAATCGATACCTTAGACTGGGATGACTTGTCGGCAGAGGTTAACCAGATCAAGCCAGTTTACACGGGCACCCAGGGCATGGCCACGTTCAACAACCAGAAGGCTCTGACTATGGAATCATTGAAGGTTGGCTAAATTATTTGGGTTTCTTATCGTTGGGGAAATGTAGCGATGGTGGAAAACAGTCTTTGCATTATTTTTTTATCTACAGATATTAAAAAAGTAGTTCCTTGAAATTTATTTGAATAATTAATGCAGTGAAGCCAATATACTGAAGATAGGTTTACGTATTTTATTGTTTTAGCAAGAATTAATGTGACAAGACCGTTTGCCAGCTAGATACTTAAAACTTTCGCAATTTGTTTTTTGTGCGTACGCAGATCAAGTTACATTGGAACAATCAGGTCAGAATTGTTAAATTTCAATGTTTTTATACCCATTATTCTGGAAAAGGTTATATTGTATTCGTTGTTGATCGAAATCAACATTTGTCTGGTCGTCCAAGGGAACGTCGAGATCTTGGTAACTTTAAAAGGCCTCTGGTTTTTGGATTTAAAAGCATTCCAAATCAAACCTCTGTTTTAGAAGTTATTATCATAAATGTACATTTTTGGATATTTGAAAACACCACCACCTCTCCTAAAACCCGATCGTTACGAAAATGTTATAGTCGGTGCACTCGACAGTAGCGTTCCTTCTAGTTTTTATTTCTTAATATGAATGGTTTCTGCCATCTATTTATCGTACTAATCATACGATTATTTTTGACGATTTTTTGCGCAATGGAAAAGATAGATTCTTAAAAGTTTAAAAATCTTATTTTTACATGTGTACACTGATCATGCTTTAAAATGTTGCGGTCGGACATTTATATCAAATATTAAAAATTCCGTTCTTGTCTTTAATTTGTAAAACGAATAGTACAATCTATATAGCTTAAAAACCAGATATTTAAAAAATAAACTTTTTAAGTGTACATTTTTTTGTTTTTTGAGGGCCACTAGGTTGAGAGACTTTAATTCATTCGAAATACTTATTTTTGTTTTGTTAAATTTTATTAATTTTCTTTTAATATATCTTTTTTTTGTTTGGACAAACCAAACTTCGGTATACCTTGATTGCTATTATCTACCGAACTTGTTTTTAATTACAATTTATATAAAAATCTTAAACAGCGCACAAATAATATTTATTATAACTTAATAAGCTAAAATTATGATAAAACGATCTTTTCTAATTTTTTGTGCTATATTTTGCTTTTACCCTTTCGGTTAATAAGGCTAAAATGTTTAAAAATGACCAAAGACTGCATTCCTCACTTGCTGATTTCTTACCCTTTTTTTTTTGTTCATTTGTGATGAGTCAGAACGGATATCTGATTGGCATGCTCATATTTGGGGGTCGCTGGGCACGAGTTACTGTGCGGCGGCTGTCCAAGAGCAGGCGAAGATTAAGGATTCGAAACCTGAATTCGTGATACTGGAAAACCCATTTCCTTAAGTAGAGGACATTGCGTCTAATGACTGTCTTTGTAGGACCTGCATGGCTCGCTGAAGGATTGCCCCGGACCCGAAGTGCTGGCGGAGGACCCGAAAGGCCTAAAAGTCGCACTGATGGACCACCAAAAGCACGCCCTAGCCTGGATGTCATGGCGCGAACGTCAGGCTACTCGCGGCGGAATCCTGGCAGACGACATGGGCTTGGGCAAGACGCTGACCATGATCTCATCGGTGCTGGCATGCAAGAATCGCCAGGAGAGGGACCAGAGGGAAGACCAAAGTAGCGGCAGCGACCCTGATGATGATAAGAATCAAAAACGAAAAAGTGCCGCCGGATGGACCTCCAAAGGACGCAAGGACAGTAAGTGTCATTACCACGACTTCTAAGAATGTAGTATACGTTTTTTTTTTGAAGTTTTTATCTTTTAGAAACAACGAACTGATTAACTCCTTAAAGTATTTAATCTGCATTGCGACTTTATTAATTGATTTGTGGTTTATTGTACAACATTTTCAGCTCACAAGGGTGGCACTTTGGTGGTGTGCCCGGCCAGCTTGCTGCGTCAGTGGGAGAGCGAGGTGGAATCCAAGGTGTCGCGTCACAAGCTAACCGTTTGCGTGCACCACGGTAACAACCGGGAGACCAAGGGCAAGCACCTTCGTACCTACGATATTGTGGTGACAACCTACCAAATTGTAGCCCGCGAGCACAAGAACTTGAGTGCCGTGTTCGGTGTCAAGTGGCGCCGGATCATTCTGGATGAAGCGCATGTGGTGCGCAACCACAAGTCACAGTCGTCTGTGGCAGTCAGTGATTTGCGGGGCAAATATCGTTGGGCCCTGACTGGCACTCCAATCCAAAACAAGGAGCTTGATGTGTATGCGCTGTTAAAGTTCCTTCGTTGCCATCCGTTCGACGATTTAAACACGTGGAAGAAGTGGATTGACAACAAGAGCGCCGGGGGGCAGAACCGCCTCAATCTGCTGATGAAGTCGATCATGCTGAGGCGCACCAAGGCTCAGCTGCAGTTGGAGGGCAAACTCAGTAGCTTGCCCAAAAAGGAAATGCGCCTCACAGAGATCTCGCTGGGCACCGAAGAAATGAATGTTTACCAAACGGTGATGACGTATTCCAGGACTCTTTTCGCCCAGTTTCTGCATCAGCGCGCCGAAAGGGAAACGGATTTTAATTACAGAAGTGAGGCCAATAAGCCAACCTACAATCAAATTAAGGATCCCAATGGGGCCTACTACAAAATGCACGAAAAGTTCTCCAGAATGGCAGGCAGCAAAAAGGAGGTCAAATCTCATGATATTCTTGTGCTTTTGCTGCGTCTGCGACAGATTTGCTGTCATCCCGGTCTAATCGATGCGGTGAGTTTAGTTTGAAAAATAACCAAATTAAAGATTATGTTTGTAAAAAATTTCCAAAAAATTTCTGTAAGGTGAATTATAAGAAATATAATATTTTCTTATTCTGAAGAAGGCCTTACAGT